CCATTCATTCCATTCATTCCATTCATTCCATTCAGTCAATTCAGTCAATTCAGTCAATTCAGTCAATTCAGTCAATTCATTCAATTCATTCAATTCATTCAATTCATTCAATTCATTCAATTCATTCAATTCATTCAATTCATTCAATTCATTCAATTCGTTCAATTCATTCAATTCATTCCATTCATTCCATTCATTCAATTCATTCCATTCATTCCATTCATTCCATTCATTCCATTCATTCCATTCATTCCATTCATTCCATTCATTCCATTCATTCCATTCATTCCATTCATTCCATTCATTCCATTCATTCCCTTCATTCCATTCATTCCATTCATTCCATTCATTCCATTCATTCCATTCATTCCATTCATTCCATTCATTCCATTCATTCCATTCATTCCATTCATTCCATTCATTCCATTCATTCCATTCATTCCATTCATTCCATTCATCATTCCATTCATACCCATTCATTCCCATTCTTTCCATCATTCCATTCATTTCCATTCATTCCCCATTCATTCCATTTCAATGCCACTGCATTCCCTTTCATTCCTTCTTTCCTTCAGTCCTTCATGCCCTTCGATCCTTCCTTCCTTCATTCCTCATTCCTTCATTCCTTCATTCATTCATTCAGTCATTCATTCATTCATTTCATTCATTCATTCATTCATTCCTTCATTCATTCATTCCTTTCTTCACCAATTCAAATCAATGCATTCAAATTCATTCAATTCAGTCAATCATTCAATTCATTCAATTCATTCAATTCATTCAATTCATTCAATTCATTCAATTCATTCAATTCATTCAATTCATTCAATTCATTCAATTCATTCAATTCATTCAATTCATTCAATTCATTCAATTCATTCAATTCATTCAATTCAGTCAATTCAGTCAATTCAGTCAATTCAGTCAATTCAGTCAATTCAGTCAATTCAGTTAATTCATTCAATTCACTCAATTCATTCAATTCATTCAATTCATTCAATTCATTCAACTCATTCAATTCATTCAATTCATTCAATTCATTCAATTCATTCAATTCATTCAATTCATTCATTCATTCATTCATTCAATTCATTCAATTCGATTCGATTCGATTCGATTCGATTCGACTCGACTCGACTCGATTCGATTCGATTCGATTGGATTCGATTCGATTCAATTCGATTCGATTCGACTCGACTCGACTCGACTCGACTCGACTCGATTCAATTGAATTCAATTCATTCAATTCATTCAATTCATTCAATTCATTCATTCAATTCATTCAATTCATTCAATTCATTTAATTCATTCAATTCATTCAATTCGATTCGATTCGATTCGAATCGATTGGATTCGATTCGACTCGACTCGACTCGATTCGATTCGATTAGATTCGATTGGATTCGATTCGAATCGATTCGATTCGCTTCGATTCGATTCGACTCGACTCGACTCGACTCGATTCAAATCAATTCAATTCAATTCAATTCATTCAATTGATTCAATTCATTCAATTCCTTCTTCAATTCATTCAATTCATTCAATTCATTCCATTCATTCAATTCATTCAATTCATTCCATTCATTCAATTCATTCAATTCATTCAATTCGTTCAATTCATTCAATTCATTCAATTCATTCAATTCATTCAATTCATTCAATTCATTCAATTCATTCGATTCGATTCGATTCGATTCGATTCGACTCGACTCGATTCGATTCGATTCGATTGGATTCGATTCGATTCGATTCGATTCGATTCGACTCGACTCGACTCGACTCGATTCAATTCAATTCAATTCATTCAATTCATTCAATTCATTCAATTCGTTCATTCAATTCATTCAATTCATTCAATTCATTTAATTCATTCAATTCATTCAATTCGATTCGATTCGATTCGATTCGATTCGATTCGATTCGATTCGATTCGATTCGATTCGAACCGATTGGATTCGATTGGATTCGACTCGACTCGACTCGATTCGATTCGATTAGATTCGATTGGATTCGATTCGAATCGATTCGATTCGGTTCGATTCGACTCGACTCGACTCGACTCGACTCGATTCAATTCAATTCAATTCAATTCAATTCATTCAATTGGTTCAATTCATTCAATTCATTCAATTCATTCAATTCATTCATTTAATTCAATTCATTTAATTCATTCAATTCATTCAATTCATTCAATTCATTCAATTCATTCAGTTCATTCAATTCATTCAATTCATTCAATTCATTCAATTCATTCAATTCATTCAATTCATTCAATTCATTCAGTTCATTCAATTCATTCAATTCATTGAATTCATTCAATTCATTCAATTCATTCAATTCATTCAATTCATTCAATTCATTCAGTTCATTCAGTTCATTCAATTCATTCAATTCATTCAATTCATTCATTCGTTCATTCATTCATTCATTCATTCATTCATTCATTCATTCATTCATTCATTCATTCATTCCTTCCTTCATTCCTTCATTCCTTCATTCCTTCATTCCTTCATTCCTTCATTCCTTCATTCCTTCATTCCTTCATTCCTTCATTCATTCTTCATTCATTCATTCATTCATTCATTCATTCATTCCTTCATTCATTCATTCATTCATTCATTCATTCATTCATTCCTTCCATTCATTCATTCATTCATTCATTCATTCATTCATTCATTCATTCATTCATTCATTTCATTTCATTCATTCATTCATTCATTCATTCTTTCATTCATTCATTCATTCATTCATTCATTCATTCATTCATTCATTCATTCATTCATTCATTCATTCATTCATTCATTCATTCATTCATTCATTCATTCATTCATTCATTCATTCATTCATTCATTCATTCATTCATTCATTCATTCCATTCATTCCATTCATTCCATTCATTCCATTCATTCCATTCATTCCATTCATTCCATTCATTCCATTCATTCAATTCATTCATTCCATTCATTCAATTCATTCAATTCAATTCATTCAATTCATTCAACTCATTCAATTCATTCAATTCATTCAATTCATTCAATTCATTCAATTCATTCATTTCATTCAATTCATTCAGTTCATTCAATTCATTCAATTCATTCAATTCATTCAATTCAATTCATTCAATTCATTCAATTCATTCAAATCATTCAATTCATTCAATTCATTCAATTCATTCAATTCATTGAATTCATTCAATTCATTGAATTCATTCAATTCTTTCAATTCATTCAATTCATTCAATTCATTCAGTTCATTCCATTCATTCAATTCATTCAATTCATTCAATTCATTCAATTCATTCAGTTCATTCCATTCATTCAATTCATTCAATTCATTCAATTCATTCAATTCATTCAATTCATTCAATTCATTCAATTCATTCAATTCATTCAATCCATTCAATCCATTCAATCCATTCAATCCATTCAATCCATTCAATCCATTCAATCCATTCAATCCATTCAATCCATTCAATCCATTCAATCCATTCAATCCATTCATTCCATTCAATCCATTCAATCCATTCATTCATTCAATCCATTCAATCCATTCAATCCATTCAATCCATTCAATCCATTCAATCCATTCAATCCATTCAATCCATTCAATCCATTTAATCCATTTAATCCATCTAATCCATTCAATCCATTCAATCCATACAATGAATTCAATGCATTCAATGCATTCAATTCATTCAATGCATTCAATTCATTCAATTCATTCAGTTCATTCAATTCATTCAATTCATTCAATTCATTCAATTCATTCAATTCATTCAATTCATTCAATTCATTCAATTCATTCAATTCATTCAACCCATTCAATTCAGTCAGTTCATTCAGTTCATTCAGTTCATTCAATTCATCAATTCATTCAATTCATTCAATTTATGCAATTCATTGAATTCATTCAATTCATTCAGTTCATTCCATTCATTCAATTCATTCAATTCATTCAATTCATTCAATCCATTCAATCCATTCAATCCATTCAATCCATTCAATTCATTCAATGCATTCAATTCATTCAGTTCTTTCAATTCATTCAATTCATTCAATTCATTCAGTTCATTCAATTCATTCATTGATTCACTCATTCATTCATTCATTCATTCATTCGTTCATTCATTCAGTCATTCAGTCATTCATTCAGTCATTCAGTTTTTCATTCATTCATTCATTCATTCTTTCATTTATTCATTCATTCATTCCTTCCTTCCTTCATTCATTCATTCATTCATTCATTCATTCATTTATTCATTTCTTTCATTCTCCATTGCGTTCCATTCCATTGCATTCCATTCCATTCCATTCCTTTCCATTCCATTCCATTCCATTCCATTCCATTTCATTCCATTCCATTCCATTCCATTCCATTCCATTCCATTCCATTCCATTCCATTCATACACACACTCACATATACTTTCATACATTCATACATTCATTCATTCGTTCGTTCATTCATTCATTCATTCATTCATTCATTCATTCATTCATTCATTCATTCATTCATTCATTCATTCATTCATTCATTCATTCATTCATTCATTCATGCATGCATGCATGCATGCATGCATGCATACACACATACGTTCATGAATGCATACACACACAACATCACACATACAAACACACATGCACGCACACACACACACATGCACACATCAGACGTGCATGCATAAGCACACAAACAAGTAGAGAAGTAAACACGTCGATGACTGACTGAAGAAGGGAACACATGAATAAGTGAACATAGAATACCATGCGCCTGCAACCACTAGACGAGCCAACACCTAAATTAAATCAACCAATCTTTACTTTAGATTGCAGGTTGCCACCTTGAGCTCGGCCTTGGAATAGGAAGATTACCTCGGTGTTTGGTGGCGGCGCCCTCCGATTCGATTCCCCTGCCTCTAGACATGGCTTGCCGACCCCTTTCTTTGGCACTCGGGCCTTCGTTGCAACCAGCACAAATCATCAGTGGAGACGGCTGAGCTGAGGTGTAACCAGACGCTTGGCGGTCGCTTTGCAAGGCGAAAGTTTTATTGTGCAGACATGCAAGGACTGCCTTGATACAGACGCGCGCCTGAATCCACCTCTGCACCTTGGAGGGTTCGGACACAGCTTCCTCACCGCCTGTGATTCGCAGATTTGGCCTCAGGATAAGCATGATCTCCCAAAAGAGAGATAGCAAAGGATCGCCTGGGCGTAGAAAAAGACAGTTTTCTCGCCGGGGCCAGCTTCTTCGACGTGCTGCCCTCCACCTCACCCCGCTTCGCTGGGTTGTCGCCCGGAGCCCCAGGCTGTGCTGACCTTTCCGAACTCTCGATGAATTTCTCTGGCCGTGAAGCTTTGAGATGTTGATTCGTACTCGCAAGTGAGTCTGATTGCGGCTTCTCGACCGTACCCGAAAGTCCACTGCTTCGACTGGAAACCGCGGAGACAAATCATGCGCACAGGACATGCTGGCCTGAGTCGTTCTTGTGTTTTTGAGTCGAGCTTCAGTTCCGAGTGAGCCGTAAGAGGCTGACGAACTTGACCCCGGGGCCAGATCTGCTGAAAGGGTGATGCCTTCTGGCTAATTAGAAAGACAGAGATCTGTCTCCTTGTGCTGGCTGTTTTGGGTCATAGCAAGGAACACGTTTGGGTCGTTTCATGCTGCAGTACAAACATTTGGGTGGGTTTGCAAGCTCACTCCTCTCAGTGAAACTTTGTAACCAGCTTGAGGTGGCGCCAAGCTGGCAAAGTCACGAAACACGGGTCCAGGTCCAAAGGGACAAAGTCTCCAGGTTTTCTATCGGCTCCGGGCTGACCGATTTCGCAGGCCCCGCGACAAGTCCTGCTCCCCGCGGATGCCTGGGGCGCTGCATGCGCTCTATCGTCAGCCTGAGGCGTGCTTGGAGGTTGTCAGCCCGCACACACACTCACAGTGTAGATACACATTGGTTTTGGTTCGAACTAGCCATTTAGAGCAGGGGCTGACCCCCTTGCAAAGTGCGTGTCAGTGTCGCTGTTCGCGTTTGTGTTTGCCTTTGTGTGGGTGCTGGCGGTTGACATAAACAGCTCCCACTGGTTCTTGGAGCACGTCACGAGTTTGCGTCCTAGTGAAGGCGCAGAAGGTGGTGGCAGACGCCTGGAGCAAGAGCCCGCAGCCCCAGCGAAGCTCAAGGGACTGACCATTTGTCAGGCGGATGCTTTTCCCACTGCACAACTTTTTGAGGCAAAGATCTGTCCTTGAACTTGGCAGAGTTGCTTTGAGAGTTTTCCACATGTTGCCAGACCACTATGTGCACCAAACAACACTTGTTCGAGGCACGGGTGGTGGTTTTCATCTCAATTTGGCAATCCCGATCAGCGGATATGCAATTGGCTTGCAAGTCCTCGAGTTGCGTCCTCGAACATGTGAGGCTGGTAGAATCCGATATTTGTTCAAGTGCTTTGCACCTCTCGGGACAGCGCTCGCCAGCCCGCTCTCAAGCCGTGGGCTCGTGAGGCACACACCTCGCACCCGGCGAGAGGTGTGCCTCACGAGGTTGCCTGGGGCAGCTCGCGGCGCAAGTCTATGCCAAGCTGGGATCTCCGGATCTCTTCTTCTTTTCAGAGGCTCTTGTTTGCTTCTGCTTTTCTTGGATTTACACCCCTTGATAGCAGAGTTGGAGATCCCTGACAACACAGTTTTGGCGCAAGGCTGATTTGCAGGTGCGCAAGTGTGTGTGTGTGTGTGAAGGATCTGCGTAAAGTTATCATATTTTAGCAGCTTACCGTCACTTCCTTTTTTCGAACAATGCCCTCCTCGTCCTCCTCCTCCGCCTCCTCTACGGCGCTGCCATCAGTTGCAAAGTGCTTCAACTGCGTCCGGATCACAGCGGGCACAGAGAGTTGTTGCTGGCACACACTAGAAGGCTGCCTGGATTGAGCAGAGTGAGCAGAGAGGATTTTGCGTGTCACCACATTCTTGAGCTTCCGTACGTGCTGTGCTGTTGGCAGACCTTGTTTTGCCTACTGTCTGACGTGTTTTGAACTGAAGGAACAGCCCGCTACTTGCAGAGCCTGGTGCGAGAGGCAGGCGGGGCCTTTTGTGGTGATTGGATTTGCGTGGCGTGGGCAGGCTGCGGCCTGGGCATGTGAGCTACTGTGACAGTCGCTCGGCAGGCACTTCCTGTTTTGGCTACACC